TGAACTTAAAGCTAATGTATAAGTCCCACTGATTTTCAGATGGGCCGTTTTAATTAACAACCCTTCATCTCCAGTGCTGCAGCATTAGGAGTTACTGGAGGGCTCCAACATTAACGAGAGGAAATTCCTTCTTTTCATCCCGTGCAGAAGTGTTGTGCAGAAGTGCTGTTCTGTCTCTTCCCCCGGCAGCCTTGCACATCCTACCCCCTCTGTCCTCCCTCCGCTGAGTCAGCACCAATACAGGGCTTGTGCTGATGTGGCTGTTCTGCTTCTGGAGTGGGAGGGAGCTGGGTAGGTGCAAGCATCCCATATTTGTGTTAGACGTGCATCATTTGTCTGCTCTTCTCACTCCTCCTATTCTCTATCCCTTCCAGTGTCATTTTGCAGTATCCCATTACTTCACCTTTCCTCAGTGACTGAGGTCTTTTAGGGAACAGGGAAAACAAGCCCAGTCAACACAATTTCATGTTGTTTTGCAAAGGGCTGGCATGTGCTTATTGTTGAGTATTTTCTGAGAACGTGGTTGTATTTTCATTGTGTGATCAAAATGTCAGCCAGAAATTTTTTATTTAGAATTCTAATTCAATAGATATGATGGACTGTAGTTTCTAAGTATGTGAACTTCAATCAAAAGGCAGATTAAAAATTGATGGTTGCTACAGTATCATTTCCATGAGTCATGATCCTGTAAAAAAGCCAAAAATAGCTGTAGAACCTAATATTCTTGGAAGAGACTCTGAACCTATTTTCTCTTCTTCAGAAAGGCTCTCCAGTAAAGAGTCTGATTTTTCCCCATTTTCAAATGTGTTTTGCCAAAAAATCCTGCTCTTACATGTATGTGTTTTGTAATGCACACAATATATGCAATGACTGGAAATAAATTAAATTTTTTCTTTACCTATGATCAAATGTATATGGTTCTTTACTGAGTTCAGCAGACTCCTGAGTACTGGCTAGTTCTGAGGCACTTGACTTGAATTTACACTTACATTGAAAGTTAAGAGTACCTAGAAAACTCAAAAAAAAGTGAACTGCAGTGATAAATAGGACCACTGGGGGATGCTAGTGCTTAAGGGTTAAAGTCTGGATTCAGCGCCAATCGGCACCCTGGTTGTGGGAGGTCCCCTGGGGACTTGTGCGTGGCTGGCAGATTTCTGAACTTACAGATAGTAGTAATTCAGTGACCAAAGTTCAGTGTCGTAATCATAAAACAACAGTAGTAAACATAAATCTTACCTCTGGGATCACCTGAGAGGGAGACAAAAATGTGAAGGTGGAGAAAGCAATTCAAAGAAAGAATGAAACAAAGAACAGAAAGAATAAAATCTACCTTGCTCACTTCTCTGGGGTTTTAGAAAATGGCCATGGGCATTTATCTCTAATACTTAGAGCAAAATGTGTGAAAGAAGAGCAAAAAAAAAAAAATCTTACCAAAGAACTGTAAGAGATTAAAAAAATACAGCTCATGGAAAAATCTGAATAGCTGGGGTATCCTTTCTTTCCGATGTCTAAACAAAAAGGTGTGAATTAAGATTTAGAGATTGATTTTTGGTTCATGAATGGTTCCATTGATTTGTCATCTAGAGATGGTAAGATAGTAGTCCCAAGTAAACAGCAGAGGTTTGTGAAAGGAAGAATGAGGTACATTTTGCTAAAAGAGTAGGTTGTGTCTATGCAAATGTGCAAGGCTGGGGGCATCACAGCTCATTGGAACCTCAGGGAGCTGTTGCTATAAACCGAGTGAAGAGCACTAAGCAGCCTTGGTGCACCTTCAGTGTAAGGAAATCAACAGAGGGACGAGAGATTGATAGTGACAAACAGCTAAATAAGGCAGAAACAGTGGACAGCACCAAG